CTTTTAACGCTTACGCATAACATATATCTTTTTGCTCTCCTTCTCTCTTTGACTGTGTTATGAACGTGGAAATATTACTTTATTGTTTTCATTCACCGTTTTATTCTCCCTTTTTTTAAACATTAAATCAAACCTTTTAATGTTTAAAAAAAGGGAGAATAAAACGGTGAATGAAAACAATAAAGTAATATTTCCACGTTCATAACACAGTCAAAGAGAGAAGGAGAGTAAAAAGATATATGTTATGCGTAAGCGCTAAAAGATATTGCCTTATGGCCATGTCTGTAATGGCGCATCGATCAGCACATCGACGGATGACATGCTAGATGTGTATTTAGATGTATCCATTAATGCACCGCTCAGTGTATCTGGTAATGGGTGGACATATGCATTAGGCATGGACTCTGGGATCGACCGATGCTTTACTCGATGCATCGCCCAATTGTATTGCAGAAATAGAGGGATGCATCAACATAAGCATTGCTGTGCTTGCCTATTTTCTGGCTTCTCAAGGCATTCAGATTTGCATTGTGTGCCATTGGGCCCAACCCGATACATCTAGATAAGTCAATTTTTTTTACTCTTTTAGTTAGATGTTCTTGAAGGCGCATTGCCCAATGCTCCAGCAAGAACATCTAGACTTTTCCGCTGGGCGATTTTTGCTTGGGTAATACCTTAACGGTAAGAAAGCCATCTTTTTCAGGCAATTTTTGTATAAAATCGACAAGTTACCTGCACTTTTAATAATTCTCTGCTGTAACAAAAGTAAAAAGTGCTGGGATGGCGAACAGAAGGCCAAGTCCTTTCTGTATGTTTTGGATCTATATAGAATGCGGTCAATCTTCATTCAGGCTATACTATTGACTGATCTGAATTCTTTCAATATCAGCATACTTTTCTAGCAATGGAATTTCCGATTGCCGGACTCGAGTCGGGCAATAGCCAAAAATGAAAATGACTTTTAGGTGATTTTTATATCTGCATTCTCGGACCTGATTGTCGGACTCGACTTCCGCAATAGCGAAAAATGAAAATGACTTTTAGGTGATTTTTATATATGCAAATGAAATACAAACAAAACGCAGATAATATTTCTTTTGTAAAAGCAACAACAATGCAAGATAAATACATTCAACTTTATACAAACAACAGACATAGTAGAAAAAACGAAGCACAATCACAAAGAAAGGACATCGACAAATAACATGCAAAAAAGAAACTATTTTCTTTCACGTTCATAAATGTAGTCAAATGTTTATATTGACTTGAAATATCGCTGTTGTCCGAGATGTAATGTTTTGAAAGTTACATGGTTTATCTTCATGAGGCGTAGCCTGCATGACACATTATACTAAAGAAAAATTTGATGTACAGCGATCATGAATAAAATCAGCAGAATTCATTTTCAAACCTAAACAGATATATAGAAAAAAACCTTTTAAGAGAGCATAGTCAGAAACAGAGAGACAGAAGGAGAGCAAACAGAGAGATACCATCACTTCATTCTTCTATTTTACTTTTTGATTGTTTGGTTGGCTAGGAATCAGGTATAGAATTATAAACCTTGGATATTTCTAGTGGAATATCATATAATGTCATCTTTTCGTAATAATTATCCAATATCATTTTATCAACTGAATCGTAATCAACAAAAACACCATAAAATAAAAATATTTGGCCACTAGAACATTTGAAAATCATTTGCTTATTGTGAGAAGTGCATGCAAAGAACGTACTTATTATAGGCATCTAAATCGTATTGTAATTCACCATATGTGCGGCATAATTTGGAGATTTCACCGGTGATCATTGTAATTTGTTCTTGGAAACGATTCGCTGTTTTAGAAAGAGAAACTGAAAACAGAAATCTTCTCTCGAAAAGAAACATACCTAAATACGGATCTTGAACGTAAAATTGGATTAACAAAGTGTTCGATAACCGATAACGTTGGACGTTTTTTTCAAATTGTTCTTGCGGCAAGATCCGTTTACATTTAATAATATTACCATTAACAACATGTGGTCGTTGTGCCATAAACTGGTCGACTTGTGTTTGTTTCCGATATTGAACAAACACAAGACCAGTATAAATGCCGGTTTTGGGATGATACATTGGCTTTATGAATTTCACAATTCCACTTACACTTTTGCAATAAGCTATAATTTCACGTTCAGACCACGAATCGGGACATTGGCATAAAAAAATGGATTCTGTATCCTTATTAGTGCGCGTCTATGAACGAAAAAAAACATCAAGAAGTATTTTAAAAAACCGTTGGAAGTAGTTTTCTTCTGATGTTAAAACGATATAGCAAAACAGAACAATCTAGCAAGACAGAAAATAATACTTACTCTTTTTCGAATAATTTTTGGTTCTTCTTGTTTAGCCCTTTTCACCTAAAATAATAAAACATATAATAATAACAAACTAATAATAAAACCAAAATTCAGCAGTGTAAAAGAAATAAATAGCATACCCTCAGATGATCTTCTTGTTCGTGATTTCTTCTTAAATTAATTTTATCTTCATGAGGTCTAGCCTGCATGACACATTCTACGAAAGAAAACTTTGATGTATTATTTGATACGGTAATTGTTTCTTCATATGATGAACCATTGTTATCATTCATATAATGCCGATTTAAAAAACGATATATTTTCATCATCGATGTTACATCATTGCACGCATACGATAATTTAGCAGTGGATAACGGAAATTGTGCCCAGTCACATACGGACCATGTCTTGTCCATGTCGAGGTGAAAACACTGATTCATCATCCACCGTAAACCAGCTATCTTGTCTTTATTTCGATTTCCTTCTGCGTTGTCATAATATTCATAAAATAAGTGCGATAATTCAATAACATTGCACGATTTTATACCACATTCCAGTTGTTGATCCAACGATAATAAACGTCCAATATCATTAGAAAGATCGTGGCTAACTTTTATTGAATCATTATTGAATACCATGATAATAAGTTTTATAGCTTCTTTTGGAGCTGCACGCTAAAATATTCAAATATTACGAAGATTACCACTGGATCAAGTCTACAATAAGGCTGCGCGATAAAAAAAAGCTTATGGCCTTCATGTGCTTGGCATCGGTTCAGTTTGGATGATTACTCGCGACTTTCAATAAAAAATCGCCGATTAATTACGATTTTTTAGTGATTCTTCGAATAGGGAATATAGCCTGCGAAGTGTAACGTAATATACAGATACTCACCATGGAATGAAATAACTTGTATAAATAAAATAAAACAATATAAAAGGACAAGTGGCAGAATGTAAGGTTTCGTGCCCAAAAAATTACGCAATGAGTCATACATATTCGGAATCAGCGTCGAATTCTGAGTAAAACTGTATTCTCAGATCGTTCAAATTCGCGAAAAA